GTGGCTTCTTGGGAACAGGGACGATGATGGAGGACTTGAAACAGGCGGGGACGAGACATCACTCCAGAGAAGAGTTGAATATACCTGTGAAGACTACAAGGAAACTAGGATTTCTTCTGTTTTAATAGAATGTAGTTACTTCTCAGTGTCTTTATAATTCCAAAAATGTACAATAACTTAAAACTTAACATGAACAATGCCCTGATTCCAAATAGTTAATCATTTGATGGACAGCACATGGTTTTCAAACTTGACGTTTTGACCATTATCTGTCATTTTGGAGAGTCATCTCCGTACGTTAAATTTTTGTTCCACCTGTCAACCTGACTGATCTTCAGAGTTTGAACGGACTCAGATCCACTAAACATGAAGCCAAATGGTGAGGTGCTCTTACAGAAGCCCACGCTTCCTGAGATATAATATATCAACTCAGTTAATTTGTTCCTCTTTGCAATTTATAATATCCATCCATGCGGATGACTAACTTCACAGAACTCTTCCATTTTTCCAAGAAGCAATTACCTGACGTCCTAGTATCTGTCATGTCTCTGGCAGTAACGCATTAAACTAATTTTGGAACTGACCTTGATTGTAGGAGTCTCATGCATTTAGACGTTAAGAGACTGGCTCTTTACATATCCGTTAATGAGGTACCAACAGCTAATTATGCAAAACAGGTGTTGTAGTGGAAGGCTGATCCGCATGCTACTTGCATTTTGTTCTTTTCTATGATGTTGCAAAATCCCACTTAATCGAGCTGTATGCTCATCAAGTAACTGGGAAGATTTCCAATGCATTGCAAGAGACACTTGGAAAGTAATGAGCAGTTCGCCATACTTACAAAACACTATGATCTTTCAACAGTGGAATGTAATATGGCATAAAAATGTGTATTGTTGTACAACAGCAGTTTAATTTTAGGAATATGGATCACATCCAGTACTGTGGTAAAACAAAGTGTCCATAAAAGAGAACACAAAGCATGGAGCACCAATGGAGCCCAACATCAACAAGAATGATTACCATGGATTTTAGCAAAATGCCGCAATAATGGTGGTTCATGCATTTATGTGTTTTTTTTTAAATTAGGAATTTTAATATTATATCAGGAATCTTAATAATTTGATATAAAATAAAAGGGTTACCTAAAAATTTGTTAAAGAAATGTCAAACAAAATGTAAAGGTTTTTGAATAAATACTATATGACAACATTGCTTTATACCTAAATATTCAGCGACAAACAGCCAGTGCTCTGAATGATAAAAGCCATAAAGACACTATTTGTGCTTTGATGATAGGTGCTCACCAGTTTTTCACTCCTTCTCGATGTGTAGAGACCACAGCTAATGACAGTACAGCAGTTAATACAAATTGGATGACTCATCAAACACTGAAAAATGACTCTTTGCGCATTAAAAACCCATATAAAGCATTCAGACAGGGGTTATAATCACTGCACCTGATCATTTACAACACTGGATTGCCAAAGCAGACGGGTGCTCTTTACATTCCCCATTTAGACAAGTTAAAAGAACCACACAGACTTTAACAGCAACCGTGTGACTTAAATGCAGTGTAATGACAGTCTGAGACAATATTTGTGTACCAAATATTTCAAAAAAGACCCATTACACTGACTTCTCTGAACCAAGATGATGATTCATTATCTACATATCTTAGGAGTAGACATAAGAGCTTGGATTCTAGAATGCTTTTATCAAGATCAAGTTGACAGGATATCACAGGCAACGCATCAATATACCTGTTATACCCTTTACAGTTCCCTTTATATTTTCCTACTTAACCTTTGTCTACCTTCACCTCATGTGGTGCTCTTTGTGTTGAATAAAGCACTGACTCTATAGAGAATACTTAAAGCTATTCTAAAAGGCCTTCTTCATACATGCTGCTCGTAGTCTGGCTTTATCCCTAATTAGGGGCTGGCCTCTGTCTGCAGCATATTCTAACTTTTGATCACACTTTTTTCATTTTAATAACTTAAAACAGACGTGACGAATTCAGGAATACAGAAGATTTTATACAAACAAGACACAGCCACTTAACAGGAGTGATAAACAAAGCATTCTGATTTTATAGCACTACAAGAACAACAAGGTTACTACATCACTAACCAATGCAGGTCATTAAAACGTTTAACAATTATTAAGCCTTGTAGTTTAAAGCATTTACTGAAACTTCCTTTGCCTTTTTCTGTTAGTTAATTTGATTCCTGGGAATGCAGCCAAAGTCTATCAGTCTGGAACTGAGTGCACTCCATGAAAGAGCTGACAACAGATCAATACTCAACATCCTTAAGGATGAGGCTGCTAAGACAAACTGAAGAAAAAAAAAGGCGCTCTGATACACAGGAAATGTGGGAATAACAAATCATGCTAGACAGAAAGACTAACAAGTCTACCATTATTGCTGAAAGAAAGATCAATGTGGATATCATACACGGTGGGATATATTTTGAACAGAATCCAGCTAAATCCCATGGTTTTAAAAACAACACAAGACACTGATTTTACACTGTACGTATACATACTTTAAGAAATACTGCGTGTACATAAAAATATAAGAGCAAAGGTCCTGGATTATTTTATTATAAAATTCTTTAGATTATCTGTAAAACAGCTGTGAAGGGCAAACACATTATATTGGACATGGCAATAATGGTTAAGTACCAGTTTTGCAAAACTGAGCAACCCAGAAAGTAACCCTCAATGTGAATTTTTGGATATTTTTATTTATTTTAAGTAAATAAACTAAATGAACAAACAAACAAAAAATATTGACTTGTTGCTCCCAGAAGAATTGGGATCATTGCAAACATTTATTCCAAATCGTTTTATCATTGTCATTAAGTGATTCTTTCCTTTCCTGCAACTGTTGCTGGGTTGCAGTCACATGACCCAGATGACGTGCAAAAAACAAATGGGGGCACAGGAAGTGATTTGCTCCGGTTCAAAATCACTGCGAAATGGATCACAGCGAGTACGCTAATGCACAATATAAGCTGGCGCCGACAAGATATCCCCAAAAAAATCTGCGTACATTTAGGTGATCCATATTGTCTTAAAAACAAAGACTTGTCATTTAATCTGGAGGATTTACTTGGCGTTGAGGCGATTGACAAACTACCTGATGCAGACCTCGTATTATACGACGAGCCAGATGAACGCTTTCAAAAGCTTTGAAGCTACAATTATTTAGTTTCAGGTTGGGTCAAACATTTAGGATCCAACGAAGCTTTAAATATCTGCTGATTGTTCATGCCTGGGTGAGCAGTGACTTGTGCTATTTTAAGTAATTAGCCTATGATAACAATGCTATCGCTAATGCTAACAAGTTAACCTGTTATTTCTATGTTTGGATCTACTTGTAAATGATTTATTTAGCTTCTGTAAACCCAAATTTGAGTAACTGTCCAATAAAATATCTGAAAATATGATTTAAACGATACGATCCTTACCTGTTAGAAAGTGGTCGCTGCAAACTCTTGCATCGTCTGTTTCCACACCTCCTGCTTTTAGCTGTAGATTGTTGATCCACTTTTGTTGTTCTTTTTCAGTCAGTTTTTACACTACTTTCAGAACATGAAAAAAAACTTTTATATTTATCCCGATTAGAGTGATTGCAACAACCGTACATGGCACAGAATTGAGCCATTTTGACACTGAATCAGAAGGAAACAAGGCTGAATTTACTTCCTGTCCCCGTCTGCAGTTCATGATGTCAATACTACGTCATCAGCAACCCAGGAATAGCTATGATATTGTCCATCGAAAAGCTTCACATTCCACTAAACTGGAATAGCAAATTAGATCCGCAAGGTTTCTTTTTCATTTTATTAATATTTTTTTATTTAAATTCATTAACAATGTATGTGTGGCAGTATGCCCTATGGGCTTTGAACGCACCACACAAGTGCCTGCATCTGATTGGTCGTGGCGCTGGCTGCCTGTATATAAA